TTGATGGAATCCACTTTTTTACGTCTCCACTTTATTTCTACAATATAGCATTTTCCACTATTTTTTGCATGACATGTACTGTTAAAAATGTAATAAAAACTTTGAAATTAAAACTGTGCAGCAGGTAGTATGCAGCTAAAGGCTGTACAAACTAGCATCAGGAGGGGGGAGTGGAACAGAGGAACATACCAAGTACAATAAAAAAGACAACATGCAGGACAGAGGCAGCTCTGTGGCAGCACAGAGAGCAATACATATTCACTGCTAAAACAGCTAAACAAAATAGATAAAGCAGAACAGAGTTCCATTTTGCTAGACCTGATCGTGCCGGTTCAGGGGTAATCTGATTTAAATGGACACGTGTGCGTTTATATCCGACTTTCCATAGACCGACATGGGGTCCGGCACTTTTAGTTCTTTCCACCATTGCAAAATGGAGGAAAAAACTGGATGGACATGGATGCCACATACTGCTCCACTTCGGAGGGGATCCATGCACGGATCCCCTCCTGATCAGCCTGTGTATAAGGGGCCCATATGTTCTGCTATGAATTAATTTAAGAGTAATTACAATGTAGCAACAATAACGTTTCTACATTGTAACTCTAATCATCACTGCAGACATTATTCTGTAAGTGTCAATTTATACAAGAGCAGCAAGAGCTGCTCTTGAGATACAAACCAAGTGGAAATGATGACTGTGATCTGGCGATAATTGCAGTCAAAAAGCTACAGAGACGGTAGAGAGGTAGGGCGTACCACATATGTATTTTGATAACAATGCACCATACACCCTAAAAACATTATCTAACTACTCTTTTCATTTTTAGGGTCAACACCATAACCAGTCCACAACTGGTAAATCACTTTATTGAAAATATATTATTATTATTATGATTATTATTATTAAGAGAGAACAATAATGACATGATTTTAACACATTCTGGTGGTCCCAATGGCTGTACACACTAGTATTAGATGCACATATGGCCTTAGAGCAATCAGCTTTCAAGATGTCTAGAAAAGGTACATAGAAAACACATTTCATTCAAACTGATGTGATACAGTTCACTAAATAATCAGTCTGCATCCTCTGCACAACAGATGTACTGAAATGTACCACAGTTGTAATGGCATGCTAAGGGCTTCATTTATAAAGCTAGGGTATGGTCTTACATCAATGAAAACAAAAATTGCTCATTTATAAAGTACTTTGAAAGTCAGCTAAAATGAGTGTTAAGCAAATTATTCTGACTCTGATTGCTGTATTAGCGATTTATCCCTTGCTGAGACCTCTGTGCCTGGCCTGTATAAGCAGATATAATGACTGTGGACAATCCTTATCAGATAGCTGAACTCACCAAATACCTTTTTCATCCACAAGGGTGCTTTATTCAATGCATCAGGTTACAGCAAACAAAAGGATACAGCAGATGAATAAATGGACGGTATTTGAAGGTCGGAGATAGTAATGTTTCCAAGCATGCAATGCAGAATAACATGTCGTCATGTTACTGTCAGCCATGACACTCGACACAGAACATGAAAGGAGAAATACATCACAGATGGGAGGGAACACAGAAAAACAATGCAAAACCAGAATGACCACAAGATGTCAGTATATGAACCAGCTACAATGCTGCTCACAATATATGGCTTAAAGAAAATGAACTATATAAATTCTCATTTCACATTAATGTGAATATTGACTATGACTATGAATTGCCATATTTTATGCAACTATTGTGGCAGCACACAAATACTTTAAAGAAAAAGACCAGTCGAGGATCTGTCAAAGTCATATGACCAGCTGCTGACCTTATCATGGAGCTCTCTCTGCAGTGTTAAGCAGAGAAAAGTATATGACATACTTGCTGGCTCGACAATGAGACCTGCATTTTATGAATGGGCCGTAAAATGCAGGCTGCAGTGGGAAGTAACATTCTATTATAAATAGGTCCCTTAGTGCAAAGAAATATTGCTTGCACACATGGATAGTTCATCTGATTTGTATTTAATGCACAGAGTTTTGTTTTATGTTACATAACAACATTTTGTTGGGTGAGTCTAGATAATGAAGATTAGTCATTGTAGTACATATGTTCCCTCTCTACAGTTGTAATAATAGATGTTGCATTGTATGATGAATAATTATTAGACAATAGAATTAGTCATCTTTATTTTGTATACAGATCGTACATAGCCAGCTAATATAAGATTTAACAATGGGAGCTTGGTTTTAATTTTAATTACATTTCAGATCATCTAAACATGTAATCAAATCCTGGACCTCCCTATATACTACACTTTACTTAATTAAAGAACAACTCCAGTTATTTAAAAAGTCAACCTGTGCAGTGGGGCTATCCCCACACTGCAAGGGTTAAACACTTGTTTTTCTCTAGGGGCAGAAATACAGAAAATATACTCACCTGATCCTCGGTCCTGCGGCAGTTGGCACTCACCTCTACCCCCTCTGCTTTGGCCATGGTACGCCCCTCGGTGTCCTTACGTCTAATGCAGGTGAATGGACTGCATTAGATGTGATGATGTAAGAAAGGGCTTAGACCTGGAAGAAGAGGCTGCGGGGACCAGTCTAGCAGCAAAGCAGGATCGGGGAGTCGGGTTTTCTTTTATTTCAAACCCCTAGACCAAAATGAGCAGTTAACTCTTGCAGTGCAGGGGTAACCGCACTGCAAGGGTTAGCTTTTTAGATTCCTCTTTAAGCGATGTGGCCAAGTTCTGGACCCACCACATCTTATGACAGAACAAGAAAGTAGCAGCAAGCAGAATGATGAGGCCATCTCTTTGCCCTTTCTTCTTGTAAACATATAACTTATTCACTGTGTTAGACTGACTAGTGCAAAGCAAGAGAGCACTCTTTTTTTTTTTTTTTAATCAGCATCAACAATAATGGCAATATTTTAATATTATGAATATGTTTTTAGGATTACATTGCAGCCCTGTTTTTACACCCAACTGTTTTCCCAGCCCATGCCCAGCCGATCTTTATGTTTGAATAGCTTCAATAGGCACAATAAATAGAAAAATAGTATTTAGGCAGAATTGGTCAACATCTCAAAAATATCTCGGGGAGCCTCTTTCACTACCCGTCGGTAGCCCAATCATGGACCGCCGCACTGGCTCCCTAGGCCCTGGATCCCCTGCGCGCCGTCTTATGGGCTGCGGGGATGCCTGACACTGTAACATCATGTATGCATGTTTAATTTCTGAAAATTCAATAAAAACATTTACAACAAAAAAAGATCTCAAAAATACAAATAAGGACAACAAAGGGCTGACTGAATTTATACGTTGTATACAGTATCTTGAACCCTGCTAGCTTTTTATCGTTGTCTGTTTCCCTCGCTTAATATTTGGTAAAATGTCCCCAGAACAGAAAGTGAGTTTAGTGTCTTACAGAATATACAGTATACACTTTAGGGCACATATCCTTTTTTTTAACTTAGCTTTCCCTCTCCCACCAAGCTGACCATAATCAGTGATGTGCTGGGGCTTTGTACAAACTCAGTTCACTGGAGTTCACCCAAGCCCATGCAAAACTGTGACTGACACCCCCCCTCCTGGCCCAATCAGTTGCTGCAGGAGCATTCACCACCCCACAGCTACAGGCCACAGAGGGGTGGGGGATGCCCCTGCAACAACTGATTGGGCCTGGAGGGGGGTGTTTTAGTCCCAGTTTTGCATGGGCTTGGGCAACCTCTGGTGAACTGGGTTCGCACCAAGCCGCTGCACATCACTAACCATAACATATGCTTATCTAAACATTTTGTTAGGGATCTTTCCTTTGCAGCTGGCCACATAGACTCTGGGCTTGAATCTTCAGAAACCATTTGTGCTGTACTAAGCAGTCTAAAGCTGGCCACGCACTGATAAGCGTAGATGCTTAGCATGGATGGGGGAATCCCCCTCACTGGGCTATTATATTGTGACAGTGATGTGGTGTGCTTCTGTCGAAATAGCCAAAGAGTGACTGCAGCTGATTGGCTGAGAATGTTTGAATTGGTCCAGTAGGGGGTTCTTCTGACATGGCTGAAATTTGAGCAGTGTGTGGCTAGCTTAAGGGCTCATTCACACCAAGTATGTTTGCCTTTCAGCTTGCAACAAATGCATAGACAAATAAAAATATATTGTTTAATGCAGGACATGTTCCAACTGCATAGCAGCACCTGTTTTGTGATTGCCCAATATGTCTATCAGATTGAATCCTTCAAAACTGAAGCACAACACATTAAAATGCATAGCAAAGCAGTTCACCCCAAGGTTGCCAGCTACATACAAAAGCTGATCACCATCTTATTTAGCTATCAGGTAATATTTCCAGTTCCATGGGCACCAGAAGACTGCAGCAAGCATTGACTAAACGTTTAGCAGGTTGTTACTGTTTGCTTCATAATAAAGTTTGAGCAAATGCTTTCCATGCTTTCCGTCCATTCAATATCTATAATAATGCACCAGCAGGCAATATGTAAGATCTCTTAGAAGATTGTTCTTCAATTAGATTGTTCTCATTCATTTTAATAGCTTTCATCAGCAATAATTACCACAACAAAAATGGACACACTTAAAGGATTGTGTATGGCAATTTATTTAAAAATACCAGGTTAAATTACAAGATTATTTATTATATTGACACATAACTAATCATGTCTTTTTGGGGTTTAATATCTGTAGAAGAATTACGTCTGCACTAATTTACAGTTTTAGTATTGTATACAAGAATGCTTTTTGCACCTTTATTAAATCCACAGGTTAGTAATTTGAAGCTAATACATTAAAGCAGAACACCACACAAAATGGATTGCTATATCTCCGACCCTAGGAATCAGGGCTCCATCCTCAGCTGAAAGCCGAGTATGGCCTACCAGAGGTATGTGTTGAGAGTAGGGGGATATCTTCCCTACAGAATTTTTAAGACACAGTTGGATATCAGACTGATTCCCACTCTATCCATGATGGGAAAAATACTGTAAATTTGGTGGATTTCTGCTTTATACAAACCTTTGGTTAGATGTGAACTTTAAGAGGAGGTGCAGTCCTGGCTAGGGCCACGGTACCTGCCACAAAGGAAAATACTTTGAGTTTTGTTGTGTCTAACAATAAAAATAAAAGGGCTGTTAACGACGCATTCTGTTTTTGGCATCAGGTGTCTTCCTTTTGACACATCTGGTGTTTCATAGCCATCCTCATTTATCTCAATAGCTGCCTTACATATTGCCTGGGATAGTGATAATCCTTTACTCTCTGACATGCCAGAAAAATCAGCCGCCTCTTCATTGAAGGCATCCTTTATCCCCAGGCTATTTAGTGTGTCCTTCAAGTCATAACAGCTTTCAATCTTGAAGGTAGGCAAAGACAACTTTACTTTGCTGTTGGCCAACATACTGGGATTGGTCCAGTTGGCATAGTTCTCATATGTTAGTTCCTTTTCCAGCTAAAACAGCAAATAAAGAAATTTGTTACAGCATTAAACCATCATGTCAATTTATTCTTAAATACATAATTTCTCCAAATCTACTAAGATTACTTAGGTATTCTCTTAAAATCCCGCTATGAAAGTTGTTGTTTAGGCACTTATTGTTATGAGGTGACAACTGCCCTGATCATGCATTGTCACTATGCCATATGCGCCCCCATGAGCCATGCCAACACAGATTACACAGGCATACTCTACCTTTTTTATTATTAGAAAGCTAGTCCAGAACAATGATGTGGAGTCAGTGCTGGAGCACGTGTAAACAGTGGGAGATGGGTGTGCTAGAGAGCTGCAGTACATAGGTGAGGCCAAATATGGGTGTGACAGAATAGTAATTAGAATAACAATATATGCAGATTCTAAATTAAAGTATATTAAAAGTATTACTTTTGTGTGCGCAACCTCTAACTAAATAATTTAACAACATGTTACTATGTCCTTAGAGTGCACATGACATTCAATGTGCCATTATGCGTGTCCTATAGCCATATGCCAAGGAGGCCCAGAAGAAAGTGACTGCTCCCACAAGGCACACGTTGTAGCTAAATTCACTTACAGTTTACATGTAACCCTACTAGGGGTCGACAGAATATCAAATCTATCGATTATTGTGGCAAATATTTACACATTTTTAAATAATCAGTATCTGTCTTAAATTTGCTGATATTGCCGATAAGTGCCGACAGTGAAGGGGAGCAATTGCAATTTGAAATAGCCAATAGCAGGCTGGCTTTTGCTCCCCCACTGCCTGCTGTTTACATTCAGCTGTCAGCTGCAGAATCTTGTTGTCGGCAGATGAACACATAGCGCGGTCAAAGATGACTTGGCTATTAATTCACCTGCCACTGAAAGATTTAGCAGCCGGATGTAAACAGAATATTGACACCCGATATGGGTTATCGGCCTAAAAGGTGGCCCAAGATCTGTATCTATTCTTAAAAAAATATTCTGGTCGATTGCTAAACCCTACTGTCCCAGAACCCTTCTTTTGCAGTCAATGTTACGAAATACATTGCATTATGTGTTCCTTTTCATACAGCATCCCTAAAAATAATTTTTTTAAACATTTTTTTCTACCTTTTAGATGTGTTTGGGTAGCAGGCCTTAGCAAGCTTCTCTCTCAGTTCCAGGTGATGAATAACTCTGTCAGTCCCCATAGCAATACAGTGGTACCTCGGTTCACAAACTTAATTCCTTCCACGATTCTGGTCGCGGACCAAATTGGTCGCGAACCGAATCAAACTGTGATCGGACCTCGAACTCGACTAGAGGAAGACATGACCATGTGTCAGGACAGGGAAGATGGCTGCGGTTGTGTTCGTCACACGATGCGGAGTTTGCGAACGGAAACAAAATTTTGCCGCACTTATCGAATTGTCCGCGAACAGAAGCCTTCATGAATCGAGGTACCACTGTACTAGGGACAGGCTGAGCTTTCTCTCATTAACATACAATGCTTCTAGATATTTAACCCTTAGTTAGGACCGACAGTGCCCAAATCTAGTTTACAACTGATAATGAAATCTGCCAGCACAGTAAGACAGGGTTATGATGTTAACATTAAGCTACCCAGACCTTCTTGTATTCTGGAGCAAAGCTCAGTACCCAGAACAACTTTTCTTTCAATACAGAGCATGTTTTTTACAAGCAGCAATAAAAAAAAAAAAAAAAGTTATACTATATTGAATGAGAACATGCAGCACATTTAAAATAGGTGTTATTCCAATCTGGCTGCAAAAGAGGAAATACACTTTAATCCCCTGCCACCCCTACTCCCAGAAATGCAGTTTCTCTACTTCTGACTAACTGCATTCGGAGTGCATTGAATGTTGCGGCGCTTACTGCGTTTGTTATACCATTAATTGACCATAACAGACTTTGACCATAACAGACATGAGAAATTCTCACTATACTGTGCTTTGAACAGGCTTTGTAATGGGGGAACATTTTTTTTATCTGCTGGTGCCGCCGTCGGCTTCCCAAGCTCCACTGTCCCCTGTGTGAGCCCGGGACCGGCGCAGCGGGTCTCCCCTGACGGATCGGAGAGAGCTCTCCTCAGATAAATGGACCCGGAAATTATGTGCATTACGTCACTTCCGGAGTCACTGTACACATTCACTGGCTTCTGGAGCCAGAAGAAGAAGCTGGTGAAGCAGATCTCTGCTTCATCAGCTTCTTTGGAGTCCCTAGGTGACATTAGGCATCTGAAAGACCTCTGATGTCTCCATAAAGAGGACCTGTCACATCATATTTGCTATTACATAAGGGGCATGTTGGCCCCCTTTGTGATAGCAATAAAGTTGAGTGTAAAAAAAAAAAATTAAAAATCAAAGTAACAGATTAAAAAAAAAATGCAAAAAAATGTTTTTTAAGTCCCCCGCCCCCCATGTGCATGCACAGACAACGCAAACAGGTGTCGGATGCGCCTACGTGCAAAACCAAAATTGCGCCACACATGTTAGATATTGTCGCAAGCGTTGGAGGGAGAGCAATAATTCTAGGCCCATCAAGCACTGTTAACACTAAACTGATGAGCAGTAAAAGTGTTTAAAGCATTGCCTATGGGAAATTTTGGTTATTGTAGTTTTTTTGTGGTTTCACGAACACACGCTTGACATGTTTGGTATCTATTCACCCGGCGTGACCCCGTCTTTTATATTTTATCAAAACATTGGGTATTACATTCTGTTTCTGTGCACTAAATTTCATTTAAGTGTATTTTATCCTAAACATACTTGTTTGATAAACATTTTGCAAATACTGTGCGACATAAAAAAATGCAACAAGCATCTTTTCATTCTACAGGTCCTCTGCTTTCAGAAAATATATCATTGTTTGTGGTTTTGAAGCTGTTTTATAGCCAAAAATGCAGATTTTATCATTTGTGTGCAAATGTAAGAAATTTTACGGGCAGGAAGTGGTTAAAACAGCCTTCTATAATACAGGGAACTACAAGTTCAAGTTGAACTGCCTACTTGTAGTTTTCTAGTAATACAATGCCATTATAGAACATGGAATAGAATTTGTTCTCACAGCTGGAGAAAGCTCTTGCAGGAGGCTGCGTGGGGCACAGCGGCCAGGAACATCCAGGCGAGGATACAGTCTATGAACCCATCGCACTCAAAACCGCTGTTCCTTATAAAAGACGGGTGCTGCGGCAGTCGACGGATGGCAACCGTCTATAATCACAGGTTAACATAGACACCGGCACTCCAAGTAATGAATCAATGGCGTCCGTTTATTGACGCATGAAACATAGCACAATGCATTAAAAAGCTCTGTACTATCAGACGGCTACTGCTGGGTCCTCGTGGCCGAGGCCCCAGTGCTGGCCCATTATTTGCCTGCATCTCTGCCTGGTGTTCGCTGCATGGCCCGCCAGCCCCCCGGTTGTAATGCCACTACCGGGGCCCCTTCTTCCTTCCTAACCCCCCCCCAAGTGGTGGAACGCCAGGGCCCGGTCGCACATGCGACCGCTGCGACCCTGGTAGTCCCGCCACTGAACCAGACAATAAAGGAAATTCTGTTGTTGCTTCTCCATTTTGGATTTTTTTTAAAACTTTTTTTGAGTAATTAAAAAAAAAATTCTGGGCGTGGAGTACTCAGATCAGCCCAGTGCTTGGTGTGGTATCTTTAAAGGCAGGGGCACATTTTTACAAATGTAAAAAGAAAGATTAAAGCAAAAGAACAATCTCATATCAGTTGTATATTACAGTATACAGTATATTGCTATACCACTATCTATGTGCTTCGGTCCCAAATTAAACAGGGTGTTGTGCTCCTCCTATAGATATTTTGAAGGGGTTGTACACCTAGGGGTTCATTTATAAAAGTTGTGCCATTCCCACTGCACTAGTTCCCCTAGATGACGAGTACAGGAATTTCCCCCTAAAGTATAACTAAAGCCGAAAGGGTTCAAACCCCTGTCAGTTTTCTGTCTGTATCCCTGCTAGAAAGATTCACAGCGAGGAATTTATCAAAACTGTAGCAGGCAAAATCGGGAGCAGTTGCCCTGGGCAACCAATCAACTTCTCCAGTTTGTTCAGTTAAGATTTGAAAATGAAAGATGGAAGGTGATTGGTTGCAGTGTACAGCTACTCCAGATTTTGATAAATTCCCCTCACTATGTTTTCTTGACACTGAAGAAGGTAGGGAAGGCAAATCTTCCAATGGGGATACTTGTTCTTCAGATGACAACTGTCTAAGAGGGGGTTTCCCTAATTTTGTAGATAGTTCCTCTTCCTGCTATGTCTATGGGACAGGAAGTAAAGATAATTCTCTCCAATTGACATAGACAGCAAAATAAAAAAACAAAAAAACCTGATAGGGGTTTAACCATTCCTCGCTTTATCCTGAAAAATTGAATTTCTCCGCCTAATGTGGCCCGATTGGGTTTCGTGCCCGGTTTTCTTGAGTTATTTAGTTGTTTTTATGGATTCATGTGAATCTGTGACCAGGCTATGGGCATTCAACTGTTTACAAATTCTTAATAAGGCTTTAGAGCTGGTTCGCACCATAGCGTTGTGCTTAAGGCACAGTACGTGCGTGTTTAGCTCATGCTATCTCACAATATCTCTGCAAGGCAACTCATACTGAAGAAAAGTTGACAGGACAGCAGATACTGCAGCCCACACTTCCCGGTGGGCTGCAGTACAGTGGGATGCAGTGAAGAAACAAAATGCATGCACTACTTTTTTTCACCACCGCGCACATTATTGCAGTACCACGCACACTGCACTGTACACCTGCCAGGAGATGCATTAGGGTGCCATTGAAATTAATGTCATTGCAATTCATCAGCGCACCTGACGCGCGGTACATTGCCTTGTGCAATAGCATACACTAAAGGCACAGGCACTGTGCCATTAGTGCAACACTTTGGTGTAAACCAGTCGTTTCTGATTTTTGTTGCAGCAGGCACTGTGGAGAAACTCATTGTGAAAGTTCATACAAAAGCATTTAAGATATTAATGCTATTCTCTCAGTACCTTAGCTCACTCTGCTCATTCTTTCCAGGGCATCTGCTCTGTGTTTACATTAGAAATGAGAAGGCTGGGAGGCTGCTAACTCACTGCTGGGAGGGCAGGATAAGCTGAGATGCTGGGAGAAGAACTTCAGTGCTTCTGCTGTAACATTTAAGGATGAATTTCCTGCAGCTACAGAGGTCAGAAAGGGCTAATTTTAAAGTTTATTTACTGCCTATTATGGATATGATAAATACTTGTCCATAGCCTGGTTACAGATTCACTTTAAAGCCTATGTCTGGGAAACAAAAACCCTCCCCTGGCAGGGCGGCTACCCTCAGGCTGCAAGGGTTAACTGATCATTTAAGCCTAGTGGACTGGAATTATGCAGTTTTACTTACCTGATCCCCGCTCCCCCAGTGGACTTTCCCTCAGTGTCCTCACAACTAATGCAGGTCTGTGGGCCTTGCAGTAATCTTTTTGAGTGGCTATGGTCAGCAGACATTGAAGGTCCAATGATGGGGCTTTTAAAATGATTAGCCCCTTACTATAAAATGGAGGCCAAAGAGAAGCCATAACATCAGTAAATTGTAAGCTGATGTACAGAAAACATAGGGAAAGCTGGCAAACTGCATTGGAAGAAATTAGGGTCTTAGTTAGGAAACTGTACTTTAATTCTGTAGCTCTTTGGGCAGAATCTATGTTATTATTATTATGAGCTCTTTTGTCTTTCATTTTATTTTGTGCTTGATTTGAGGTCAGTGGTCACTTTTATCTGCTGTCCTGTCCAATGCAAACTTTAAAAATATTGGGTTTGTGTTTCAGGGATGGTATTTTGGTGTCTTTTTGTATCTTATATTGATAGGGTCTTTATTTTAGGTTACACTTTTTTTCAGGGCTGCTAGTTTGGAGTTTTCTTTTCTTTTGTGCCTTTTATCCCTGATTTAAACTTTTCTGTTTCTGGACAGTCTTACACTGCTGTATCCATTGCAGTATCTTATTTTTTTGCCTCAGCCTGTGCCCTAGTACAATTGGGCCTAGCCTTGTTATTTAAAATTGACTGCTGTTTTCCAATTTTACACTGCTGTATCCTCTGAAGTCTCTTAATTTTTGCAGTAAAACATCTGCCTGTACTCTTTCCCTCTAGTGCATTTTGGCCAATTATCCCTCATTAAAAATATCCTGCTGCTGGCCAATTCTGCACTGCTGTATCATCTGGGATCTCTTCATTCTTAATAAGAGCTTGACCAACACTGCGCAGCAGCAGGTCAGTTTTGTATCAGTGACAACAAAGACAACCACAGCAACCTAGTGGCCAAAATCTTTCAGTCAAAATGGACCATATGATGACAAACAGACATTTATCAGATTGGAGTGCTGCTGCTTTGTAAAACAAAAACAAAGAAAAATCCACAGCCAAAGATGTGCTCCCATATTGTACACTTTCACTAAGACTGTGAAAATCCTACTATTCCTTAACACCACGTAAAGCTGTTAGGCATCCCCCAAGCATTCTTTTTAAAGTATTTGTGTATTTTCTGCCATTAAACCCACATGAAAATACCTTCTCCTGCTGTATAGTATATACAGTATGTAATTATTTTATTTATTTATTTATTTATTTATTTAATTGCATTGATAAATGTCAGTGTACAGCTTTCCAAGCCTTTTTTTAGATTAGTTACCTATTAGCCCTAAAAATGTCCAGAGCTTAAACATGAGATTCACTCTCCTTTAACAGGATTAACTTCTATGTTTGGGTTTGACAAATATCGAACAAGATTCACTGAACTTCTGGTGAATCCAACCTGGGCATATTTGCCAATCACTATACATATATAATATCTAGACTTATAGGTAGGATTTAGAGAGAGATGTTTGGTATCTGTGGCCTTTGAATTGTACAATAAGCAGTCAGTTGCACCATGTATATAACCTCTGAGTAGTGTAGTCAATCATCTAAATCAGTAAAAATTAACAGTAATAATACTAATACCTTTTCAAGTCCTGTACATTCATCTTCCATTGTTTTGGGCAGTAAAATAAGCATACTCATTTGTTTCCCTTCAAAAGGAATTTCCACGACTGACAAGTTTGACTCTTTCACAAATCGAAAACCAAGTTGTGCTTCCTGATGCATCATTTGTACAGGCTTAGTCTCAGTCTAAAAAAAGAGACCACACATGATCTATATTAGAATTTATATTATTTCATACTCTAATCTGCTTTTCCTTGTTAAATATGACAGCTATTGTACCAAACAAGCATAATAGGTATCATTCTGAAAATTCGCCTCCAGAAACATGCCTATCTCCAGGAAAAAAACTACCTTGGCTGTGGGCCTCTTCCTGCACTGCAAGGGTTAAATTCACATTTAAAGTGACACTAAACAGAGGAGTTAAACCTTAAAATGCATCTAAGCACCCTAAATATTACCAAAAATGTAGCTTATTTGTGTATCACTTTGGCTGTATATCCTCAATAGGGCTGCAGCTAACGATTATTTTCATAATCAATTCGTTTGCCGATTATTAAGTTCGATTAATCGGATAAAAAAAAAAAGGCTCCAGTGATGGACTTCTAGTTTGTATTGAGATTGTAGTCCATCACGGGAGCAAGCTTGGTGCGATGGAAGTAAAGAAAAGAGTGTGGTGTGCAATATAGCACATTATACAGCGGCGCAGTGCAGAATACCAGCAGCTATAGAGGAATGTAGCAATAGTACATTATAATATAATGTACTATTGCTGGGATTTGTAGTCCTCTGTAGCTGGTGTTATTCTGCATTGCGCTGTATATAATGTATTATTGCTGGGATTTGTAGTCCTCCATAGCTGGTGGTATTCTCCATTGCGCTGTATAATGCGCAATGCAGATTGCCACTGACCAGCTATAGAGAAACTACAAATCCCAGCAATAATACATTATACAGCACAATGGAGAATACCAGCAGCTATAGAGGAACAACAAATCCCAGCAATAATACATTATACAGGCTGTTTAATGTATCATTGCTGGGATTTGTTGTTCCTCTATAGCTGCTGGTGTTCTACAGTGCGCCGCTTTTTGTGCGGTAGTTGGGTACGCGGCCATGTGCGCGGTGGGCATGGCGTCCTCAGCGTGCATAGCGTAACTCGTGCATGGAGCCGCGAACAGGCGGGCGTGAGTGGGAAATTTACATTTTAGCCGACGAATCGATGATGGAAAATGCTGACAACGTTTTCCATCGTCAATTTTAATCGACTTAATCTAATAATTGATGCAGCTCTACAGAATACCAATGTATAATACAGCGGCACACTGCTGAATACCAGCAGCTATAGAGGAACAACAGATCCCAGCAATAATACATTATACAGGGTGTTTAATGTATTATTGCTGGGACTTGGTGTTCCTCTATAGCTGCTGGTGTTCTGCAGTGTGCCGCTGTATTATACAATGCAGAACACCATGCACAATACAATGCAATGCAGAAAACCAATGTATTATACACCGGCACACTGCAGAACATTAGCAGCTATAGAGGAACAACAAATCCCAGCAATAATACATTATACAGGGTGTTTAATGTACTATTGTGTGCCGCTTTAAAAAAAACAAAAAAACAAAAACAGGAAACATTAAAAAGCTCCCGGCCGATCTCGACTTACCTTGAATGACGGTGTTGTCGGCGGGCAGCGGCGAGTTGGGAAGCTTACCGGGAGGAGAGGGCCAGACGCATGTTCTCAGCGTGTGCGGTGGGCGTGGCGTAAGCGGCATCGCGTGAACGGGTTTACCGGCGTAGGCGTGGCGCGAGCGGCTTAACCAACGTGGGCGTGGCGTAAGCGACGAGCGGGAAATTTGAATTTTAGTCGACGACAACGTTTTCCATCGTCGATTTTAATCGACTTAATCGAATAATTGTTGCAGCTCTAATCCTCAAATCATCTCTGAATTGGTGCTGACACTGTCCTTCCTGCTGGAGGGTGGCTGCTTTTGTTCTCCATGATCCTTGTGTGTGTTGTAAAGTAGCCACCGCTCCAAGCTCGCCGCTGTGATTTACTACAATATTAATACAAATTAGTAAACTAAAGGAGTTATTCACAAAGCTGCCCAAGGCAGCCGAATGAATAACCCAGCCGAAGTGAAGTGAGCCGAACGCTGTTCTGATATCAGCCGTACATGCTCTGCATGTTCGGCTGACCTGAAGTGCAGAAGGTCTTCGACTCAGCTGATCCAACATCTGGATCGGCTGAGCTGAAGCTCCGGTAGCTCACTCGCTGCTGTTCGCCCCTATTGTCATAGGGACCGTAGTAAGTGAATAGCCGAAAGCCGCCGAGTGGCATTCAGTTTAGCTATTCTGCTCGGTACCTCCACCCAACTGTTTCCTATTGGCCGCCACCTGCTGGAGTCTTCTAGCAGGTCCTGGCCAATGAACAACAACTGGGCGGAGCCAGCCGTGACGGTACGGTTGTTATTGTTTAATACCAGGTCATTTGGGAACACTGATCTATCATTACAACTGGGGTGAACGGCTGGCCCTTCAATCTGTCATTACAACTGGGTGGAGCCAGCTTTGAGATCACGGCTGGCTCCGCCCAGCTGTCATTTGCGGGGCGAACAGCCGGCCCTTTGGCAGGCCGTTCTCCTTGCTTCATCTGTCATTTCGGCTCGGTCGAGCCGAAGCATATGCCTTTGGCTCGGCTGAGCCGCTCGGCCACCTTCGGCTGCTGTTCGACTGAACCGAAGTAGCCACCCTCCAAAAGGAAGGACAGTGTCAGCATGAATTCAGAGATGATTTGAGGATATACAGCCAAAGTGACACACAAATAAGATACATTTTTGTTAATCGTTAAGGTTCTTGGTTGCATTTTTAAGGTTTAACGCCTCTGTTTAGTGTCACTTTAAACGTGAATGTAACCCTTTCACAGGGGCCTTGAGGCCCATTATATCAAGAAAGTTCACTACTATTGCTCTAAATAAATCATGTATTCAATTAAAGGTTTTGCTGCTATCAATATTTTCTACTATATTAAAAAAAACAACAACAACTGTACTGTATTTACATATTAAAATTCCTATAAGGAAGATGGCTGTTACTATAGTAATAAAAAAATACCAAATGCAATAATAAGATTTTAAAACATACACTGAGGAAGGACATTATTATGACCACCTGACGTTTGTAGACAAATTAGCTATAATTAGCTATAATTTCGCGCTGAAGCTGCTAGAGGGCCAGACCATTATAAATAGGGAAGCAGGTTGTTTACCACGACAGTAGAAGTGATTTTTTTCTGAAGATATGGGTAAACAACATGATTTAACAGCCTTTGAACGTGGGATGATTGTTGGTGCGAGCCATGGAGCGAGTATCAGCAAAACAGCAGAATTCGTTAAATGTTCAACAGCAGCTGTTGTTAACCCTTTCGCTGCCAAAACCCTCCGGAACATTTTTCAAATCAGCTGGCCAAGCCATTTTTGCATTTTTTGCAATTTTTTTCCTATTGATTTGATGACTAGTCAATGTTAGGGCAGAACGGAGAGTGGCAAGACTGGTACAAGACAACAGAAGGGCAACAGTGCATCAAATTACTGCAGATCTTAATCAGGGATCCTCTCAAATGATCTCTGAACGCACTCTTCGCCGTACACTGCATCGTATTGGATATGGAAGCCAAAGGCCTGTTCGAACACTTTTGCTATCTGCAGTTAACAAGATAAAACGTCTCCAATTCGCACAGGACACAAGGATTGGACAGTCGAGCATTGGAAAAAAGTCATGTGGCCCGATGAATCACGTTTCCAGTTGCATCATGCAGATGGCAGAGTGCACCCCACATTCATGAGTACAACCCTTCAAGCTGGTGGGGGCAGTGTTATGGTTTGGGGCATGTTTTCCTGCCATGATTTGGGCCCTTTAATTCGTGTGAAACAACATCTGAATAGCACAACATACCAAAGTATCGTTGCTGATCAAGTTCATCCTATCATGTTGATGGCGTATCCCAATGGAGGTGGCTTTTCCCAACAAGACAATGCGCCATGCCACGGTGCTCATATTATGCAGGAGTTGTTTCAAGAACATGAGGAGAATTTACCTTGCTTAGGTGGCCCCCACAATCACCAGATCTCAATCCAATTGAGCATTTGTGGGACAAAGTTGAAATAGCCATCAGGCAGCTGGTTCCACAACCATCAAATCTCACAGAACTGGACAGTGCTATTCATTAGGCATGGTGTCAGATTCCTCGCATCACCTTTCAACATCTCGTGGAGTCAATGCCAAGAAGAATCGCCGCAGTACTGAAGGCAAAAGGTGGCCCAACGAAGTACTGATGGGGTGGTTATAATAATCTGGCCACTCAGTGTATATACAATAATTATGGCTATTTTCATCTAGTTCATAGCAAATCCGATAGAGGGCAGTATCGTGTTGCTGATTTCTTCTTCATTTCCTCAGAAAATATGCATTATTTTTAGAGTGGGGCATTAGCCAGGTGTACTATATATTATAATATAAAAATAAACAATGGAATGATGTGCATTTTATGCTAAATAAAAAAGTTTTGTTCTAAAAAAAACACAAATTTAACTAATGCTAAATAATAAAAAAAATGTTTTTGTTTTTTTGCAAACATCAAATCAAACCTCTTCATAAACATTTGATACTCGATTTTATGCAAATTTTACACATAACGGGCCTCATTTACTAAAGCAAAGTGGAGTGAAGCTACACTTGCTTCAACTATCCATTCAACTGCAGGAAAATGTATTTTGTTTTATACCCCTACACATGATTGGATAGCCTAGGTGAACACCAGTACACCTTCACTTTAGTAAATCAACTTCAAACTGCATTACACAATTCTCCATATAAAGTGATAACCAGCAAGAATGAAAGGTTTACAAGTGAACTTGAAAGGACCATGAAAAAGAAACTCTACATTTTGTCCTGCGTGCAACATCCAGATTAAAGTGGCAGCTACATTATTTGCAGCTATAGTGATATTGTTTTTATTATCACTGCCTATTTCCCAAGAATGTCCTTCTCATACAAAGAAGCTCATACCTTGCTAATATGAAACTCTGCCTCTTTTGTTTCAGATTCATTGTACTTATACAACCAGCATCCTTTTAAATATGAAGCTCCAAGCAAAACCATATTGGTATTCTCATTTAAGGAATCCTCATCCAATACTGTCTCCATGTGACCTGCAAAATGAAACATATATAGATTGTTACTTGTTTTTTTCCTGAATTGAAATCCATGCAAATTTTCGCCAATTCGTACATTCGGATGCATCCGAGTTCCCAAATGACAGAAATAACGAATCCGAATGTTTGATAACGAAATTTGGATACAAACTAATTTAATTCGGAACGAAACACAACAAGCGGGAGATCTGTCATTTACAGCTCATAGGCTTTTTACTTTGTTGATATTCTTGACTGTAACCCAAATTAAAACAAAGTAACGGCATATTGTTACAAAATTTAAATAATGAAAGAAGCTGAGAGATCTGTTCCTGCAAAAGCACTCTCCCAGTGCCGAGGGCATGTGGCCTGGTATCGCAGGGAGGGGGGGGGCACTTGCTCGCCCCCCTTTCCTGCCCTGCCAGGCCTGTGCTTGGAATCAAGGGTCTGGTACGGAATTTTAGGGGGTCCCCATGTTCCCCCCCCCCTTAAAATTCCATTGTAGACGTTATGGGCCTGGTATGACTTTGAGGGGGAACCCCACGCTTTTTTTTTCTTTTTTTTCAAAATGGGGTCCTTCCGAACTAGGGTTGAAACCTTTTCTTCAAGCGAAACCCAAACACTCTAATGGCACGCTGACATTTTTGGGGAGAATGAGTTGTGGCTTAGTCATGTGTAAATAGCGCCGCCCATTCATATGTAAATATAACAGTTTAAACTATTTTCAGTGGGGAGCCAGTAGTCCCATCTTGACTTTGGTTGCCCCTGTCTGCCTGACATCTTGTGTACGGGTTTCTGCTGCCATAAAACCCGGACACAGCATTCAAATCCCGGACATCAGGGTGAATCCTGGACAGGTGGCAACCCTACTCCTAACATTCCAACCAGAACTATAGGGTCTGGTATTGTTTGGGAGCAGGAACCAGACACTTTTTTTTTCTTGTTAAATGTAATTTTTTTCTTTACAAATGTTATTTTTTGCTGCAGTAGGTTCTATACATTGTACAGATCCGCCACTTTACAGGCAGTTTAAAGGGACCCCCCGGGCATGATATTTAAAGGAATTTTTAATTTGTATTGTTTCACTTTAAGTGATGTTAAAATCACTGCTCCTTTAAAAACTGTATTTTTATTTTTTTCTCTTCCACTGGTTGCTGGTAAATAAAGAAGCCATTGCAACTCTTGTATCAAAAAACAAACCTTACGACAGAGAGGGGAATTTATCCACTGGAGCTGACAAAAATTGTAACAGTTGCCCAGGGCAACCAATCAGCTTCTCTCATCAGTTTGAATATATATATATATATATAAATGGGTAAGCCGTATTAGTCCAGTAGACAAGACGTAAAAAAAACAAAAACGCAGTATTGCAGTGTGCAATGATACCTTTCTTCTTGGACTAACAAAATATATAAAAGACAAGCTTTCGAGAGTGAACCTCTCTTCTTATTGCTTCTGACCTGAAGAAGAGAGGTTCACTCTCGAAAACTTGTCTTTTATATATTTTGTTAGTCCAATAAGAAAGGTATCATTGCACACTGCAGTACTGCGTTTTTGTTTTTTTTAACGTCTTATATATATACATGTATACACGTGTTCCATGATTCCATGAAATTTCCTTGCTACTAAATATTCTACGGTCCCCTGTTAGTGGTATTATAACAAAGTGGAAGCAACTGGGAACAACAGTACCTCAGCCACAAAGTGGTAGGCCACATAAAATGACAGAGGGGGGTCAGTGCATGCTCAAGTGCACAGTGCGCAGAAGTCGCCAAATGTCTGCAGAGTCAATAGCTACAGACCTCCAAACTTTGTGTGGCCTTCAGACTGGCACCACAACAGTGCGTACAGAGCTTCATGGAATGGGTTTCCATGGCCGAGTAGCTACATCCAAGCCTTACATCACCAAGTGCAATAAAAAGCGTTGGATGCAGTGATGTAAAGCACGCCGCCACTGGACTCTAGAGAAGTGGAGACATGTTCTCTGGAGTGACGAATCATGCTTCTCTGTCTGGCAATCCAATGGATGTATCTGGGTTTGGGGGTTGCCAGGAGAATGGTACTTGCCTGGCTGCATTGTGCCAAGTGTAAAGTTTGTTGGAGGGGGGATTATGGTGTGGAGTGTTTCAGGGGTTGGGCTTGGCCCTTAAGATCCAGTGAAGGGAACTCTTAAGGCATCAGCATACCAAGACATTTTAGACAATTTCATACTCCCAACTTTGTGGGAACATGTAACAATCTATGCTACGCGTTTCGAGGCTCTGCCTCTTTGTCAAGCCTAAGTGGAAAATGCAATAGATGCAATAGAGCATTCCCCACTTAGGCTTGACAAAGAGGCAGAGCCTCGAAACGCGTAGCCGCCGGCATTGGACACTGCCCCTGTCCATCTCCTTCCATCCCCTTCGTTTTTTTGACACCCTCGAGACACGCTCGTATTGACTCCTTGGGTTCCCGAACAGTCCGGCATTTGACTTCGCCGTATATCCACACAGCCGCGGCTCAGCCTGGCCAGCTGAGACCACGGTGTTCAAACGATCACCCCTGACAGCTATCAGACTGCTCTCCGGCATCTCTAGATGAGCTGACACGCCATATGCCGACATCAGTAACGTGAGTGGGTTTCTACAGTAGTGGCGCTTTTTCATTCTTGTGATTTTAATAGGGTAATGAAAGGCAGGCAGAAGAATGTCACCTTGCCTGGGGATTAAAAAAAGGCCTTCACGGGGGTACAGGGACCAGGACTGCCTAGTCTTCACCATAGCCATAGGAGCTATGGCTTGACAGACAGTCATGAACAGGTTAGAGCATATTCAACACTCAAGAACAGACAGAAATGTAACAAAGAACAAAAGGATATACATGCAAACAGGAACAGAAGATAAAGCCAATGTAGACAAACTGGATTTCAAGCAGGAGCCAGTACAGACAGACACACAGGATGAGCAGCATCACAAGCATAGGTCAATACAGACAAACAAGTTTACCAGTACAAGCCAATGCAGACAAACAAAATCACACGCATAAGCCAATATACAGACAAACAAACAGGATCAGAAGTAAAAGCAAATACAGATAGACAAACTGTATCAGAAGCATCAATCAATACAGACAGACAGGATCACAAGCAAAAGTAAATTCAGACAGACAGACAGACAGGTTTAGAAATAGAAGCCAATGTAGATAGACCAACAGGAAGATAAGCAGAAGCCAATACAGACAGACAGGATCACAAATAGAAGCCACTGCAACTAAACAGATAGGGGTTGATTAACTAAAGGCAAATAGGATATTCACTTTGCAAGAGAACTTGCACTTTACAAGGGAATTTTCCCATTGTTTACTGAATGTGGTGAAATTTCACTTTGCAAAAAATACCCAATCACATGCAAGGAAACAAAAAAATATATATTTTTGCTTGCACATGATGGAGTCAGCAGAGCTTTGCCTCATTCACTAAGCTAAGGGAAAATTCCCTTGCAAAGTGAAAATTCCCTTGCAAAGTGAACAGTCTATTTGTCTTTAGTAAATCAACCCCATAGGATCAGAAGCAGAACAGACACACGCAGACAAACCAGATCAAATCCTTAGTAATAACAAATTTAAGTTTGGCTACTTACCATCAGTCAGGTCTTTTACTGATGCATTTATTTGGTTTCGAGCCTCTTCTGCTCGACTTTTAATGTCAATTGATTCCAGTTCTGATGGATAGGGCTTCTTGGTTGAATTTAGGAACTCCTACAAATAATTTTAAATTGGTATTACTGCATTTCAATAACACTAGTGATAAAAGTGAGATTAAACCTTTAGGGTTTTTTAAATTTTATGAATAGGAGGCCCACACTTCCACAAATCCTCTATTCTTTTTATTTAAAAATGTTCAATTTCTTGTTCTCTAGTTGGTCTCTGCATCGATCCTCCTCCCGCCCCCTGCAGGGTGCCTCCATCAGCTAGCTGTCTGCTGTGGAGGCACCTGTGCGTGTGCATTCCCAGCCGTGCCCACAAGTTGCTGTGTGCATCCATAGACACACACAGCTTGCAGCCCCTGCCCCTACAGTCATACTTTGACTGACAGCAGAAGGAGCCTTTGGCTCCTCTTCCCTCAGTATCCTCCCCTGCAACTAGGAATTTCGGGGAACTGAAGACAGCTTCGGAGACCAGTAACGGTAAAAGTGGTGTTCACAGGTAAGTGTGGGGGGGACAGAAAAAGATACTGTCCGTTTTTTACCCCAATGAAGAGAATGCAAGCGGATTCGCCTGTCAGTTTTTTTAGGCAGACCTTATCAGAAGTGCAATGTTAGTCTATAGGCAGCTCGATGTAAACGGACGCGCGTCCATCTAGAGTCCATCTAGGTACCAAAGAAAACAAAAACCCATAAAACAGTTCCATTTTGGCGTATTGAAGGTAATCGGATCCGACTTACATCTGACTGCCCATAGACCTATGGCTTTTTTAGTTCAGTTTTTAACTTCATCGCAAGATGGAGAAAAAAACTGAACGGACATGCATGTCACAAGAGTAAAATCTGTTCCATACTGTTCATTTCAACAGGAAATCTGTTCATTGGTCCCCTGCTGTTTGGAACGGACGATGATCATGTGAAAGCGGCCTTAGCTGCAAAGACTTGTACACAGAACACAGACAGATACCTTAGTACATTTGTGACTACTGTCAACATAAAGCTTCTTTACAACTTTAAGGGGGGAACACAATCTGGAAATGTCTGCCGTCAGTGTTTGAAATCCAAAATCATAATCGTTGACCTTTTCGAAGTGAAGAACCTAGTAAAAAGAAGAGATTGTGTTACAATTAAGAATGCATGATTGCATCAATAAAGATAATTATTGCTTCTCATCAAAACAATCCTAACAATATTTATTTTCCATTTACTGAAATGTGTCACAAAATATTTATTATTATTTTAATTATCAGCAGGGTAAGGCACCACAAACAGTCGCTACAAGTGTGGTGGAAGTTAGCGCCTATACTAATTTGATCTCTTGTGGCATTGGTGAGGATCAGCTTGTCATGTATTTTTAATCTTTAGAAATATAAAGTTTATTCATTGAGCTTAAAGGCATTTTCTACATTTTGCACAAAAAAGAATCATAAATGTATCCATACCGATGAAAGAACAAAAGTGTGCATTTATTCATATTTTGCATTGGAGCCTGCAAAGCATTGCACCCTCTATCATTGTATCGTGGATGCAATGCTCAGACTCCTTCAGACTGTTCCTCTAACACCAGGTCCTTACCAAGGTGTGGTGATATGCGAGCTGTGGGAAGAAAATCCCTGTAATTCAGGTAACTGGGATGTGGGAGTTGCGCAGATTGAGGGTGAGGGGCTAAGGAATGCTGCCATGTTTCATGTTACACCCTAAATATGGGTGTAACATGAGATCTGGTGATCACAAAGCTCGACTTCACCTTTACAGTATATGTAAAACCAACATTTTTTGTAAAACTTCCGTCAGGCTATTATTGTATCCTCTTTGGGAATATTAACCCTCTGAAGCTGTCCTGGTGACCAACCATGGTTTCCAAAACAGAAAAAAATAGAAAATCCAATATTTACAATTTATCAAAAGAAAAAAAATGAGAGGACATTTTTGCCCATTTGGGGCAAAAAAACAATGCTTGTTAAAGCTTCCCCCTTGACCCACTGATATTCACCTCTTCAGTGATCCCCTGTTGCTCTTTCCTCTGTCACAGCCAGAGCCAAAATAGATATTGTCAGAACCTAAAGGAAGTGGTGATGTCACCAGTGCTCAAGCCTAGTGATTAGCTGCTAGGACTGAGTACCTTATCATAGAAGATCACATGCTGCTCTATACCTCAAAGTATGAGGTATTTGTGCTGCTTGAAACGGACAAAGAAGTGGGGGAGATCACTGGAGAGGTTAGTATCAGTGGTTCCAAAAGGGTGACTTCACTTAGAAATTCTAATTTTGCCCTGAATTGACAGGTGACAGTGTCTCTTTAATTATATACATCTGTTTAGATGACAACTATTCAAGAGAAGAGTTCCTTTCACTTCTTGTTGTGCCTTCAGGACAGGAAGTAAAGGAAATCTCCTCAATGGGACACAGACAGCAAAAGTAAATTCTCTCTCTGCTCCTTTCAATGTATTTGCATGCTATAATTGCCATTTACATTGGAGTATAAGACCACAAATGCTTACATACAGGAACTCATTCTCTGCAGCCTACTTAAGCAGGCCCTGATAACAATGCAATGTAGTAGACAATTAGGAATAAACATGAAGCTATCACTTACCTTTTCTATTTCTGTTGATGTGTTACCTTTGGCTCCCTTAAAAGTTAAAGTCAAAGCAGAAGAAATACAAAGCGGGGAGAAGATGAAATTATCAGTCTTGCTTTTTTCACAGAACATTTTTAGAATGTCTACGGCCAAAGACACGTTTGCCAAACGGAAACCCTCCATTATCTAGAAAACAAAAACAAGAAATGAAAAGCATAAAAAGGAGTGTAGAGCCAAAGGAAATCTCACCACTCCAATTCCTTAGCCGCCTTCAGGAATCCCCAGGTGCTGGTCTAATAGGTGAGTCTCCACCTTGGAATATAGTAGTATACGAACAGACCGCACTATCCAGAGAATTCCAATACTTCAGACTTTCATTAAAATCACATCATATCGAGTAAAACAGTGAATTAAAGTGTATAAAGCAGCAAATACTAGCACCGCAAACCCCCAACCAGCTTTAACCTCATTTCACCAATAGGCTTATTCATAGAGGTGAATCTCTATGAATAAGCCTTCGGGTTAAACATGTGAGAGGTTGTAGCTGGTTGGGGGTTTGTGGTGCTGGTATTTGCTGCTTTATACACTTTAATTCACATGAAAAGGAGTGTTATATAATATACACATACTGTACATACTTGCCAACTTTCCACGATTTCAAACCTACTCCCTGTCCCAGCTACCTATTTCCTGGGTCACTTTATGGACTGCAAGCAAAAATAGCTTGCCTTCTGTTTGTATTTGCCAAGCGTATTAATCATTCTTTGACAAGCCTGTCATCATGTTGACCCAGCTTCTGTAATCTTTTTTTCAAAGACTTATATTTGATCAAACAAGCAATACACAGCAGGAAAACCCATGGGCTTCTCTTCTTGAATACTTTTCAAGAAATGCCATACTAACATTTTGTATTTCGTGATCCTCCACTCATCTGGCTGTTAATAGACAGATTGGAAAACCTATTGGAAATGGATGTTTCCAAATGATTTGTAGTATTCACTTGAAATAATAACACTTCATCGATGTCTGCTTTGCACATCGCTCAAAAGAATCATGCATGCTTATGCCACAGTCAACAGAATGATTATATGGGGGTTTTTTTTATCTCCTAACCTCTGGCTCATGTCTATGGATAGCATTGGGTTGGATACAGACTGTTAGGATGACTGATATTTTTAACGTAAAAGTGCAATGCAACAAACATCGCCCACACACCACAACATACCTGCGTTTTAGCACATTACCAGGCACAGATGTGATCCATCTGTGAATTATCGTGCACTGAAACAAAAAAGTTGCAGGTGTGTTAAATGGTCTGCTGTGACAGCACACATCATAATGTGTGTGTGTTAACGCACCACAAAAGTCTGAATCGAGCAGTCAAGACATCTATGTACATTCTATACTTTCTTGGACACTCTACTCTACAGTGCTGTCACACAGTTAAACATTCCTATTCTTATGAATGGAGAGGGGAAAAGGGAGGAGGTGAGGCAGGCCACATATATCAAATCAGTCTGTAGGTAGCTAGCTCTAGGCAAAGCTAGACATCAGGGCCATCGTTTACAGGGTAAATCAAACATATATCAATTGGCAAATAAAAAAATACTGTTATCATGGTGTACCCAGCACTATGAATAAGGACTACATTACAGCAAGTATATCTATCTATCTATCTATCTATCTATCTATCTATCTATCTATCTATCTGTCATCTATCCTCCCACACATCTACAAGAACACAAATTTTTCTGTTCTGTAGCTTTGACACACCCATGTGAGTAACAGAATATTCCCTGCAGACATAATGAAAACAAACTGCCTGTCTGCTTTGCAACACCGACTACTGTGTGAAACTTGTACTAGTTTTCTTTGAAATAAAATTTGCCATACATCGTTTCTTGGTTTCATATATAATATCTGGGAGTAGTAGAGTCTTGTAGTGTGTTAACCATGGATTACTGCAGAAAGTTTGGAGTTTAAGGGTTCATTCATACCAGCGGGTACGCATTAAGGTACACATAACTTGCGTGCGCTGGTGTATGTTGTTAAAACGCATTGCAATGCTTGTTTTTTTTACTTTTCTTAAACTATTTAATTCAATGCATAGCAGCATGTTGTGATGCAATATAGCACTTCAGAATGTGCTGCATAAAAATGCAACACACCAATACAGTGCTTTGAAGCAATAGGACATAGGGCAAATTGCCTTGTCTGTGCTTTGGGTTGCATTCAGCAACACCACCCAACACAGCCAGATGGGAGTGGTGTTAACAAGGACCTAGTGATTGGGAATAGTGAGCTTTTAGGAACCATTGGGTTCCTTCTACAAGGTTTGTACAATTTATGAATTGCTTGGTGAATGCTGTGGTCATTCATTGGTCCACATTGGTGCATTTAAGTGTTTGTCTTATATCAAATTTCTAGTTAAAGCTTGAAATGTCTCATCAAATCAGAAAGACTAATATAAAATTGAAGTATATCTAAGACCAAATCATTTTATTTTTACAGATGCGGGTATTAATAACCTTAACTTATGAATATAAATTGTAAAAGGACCATAAAAAAGTCTCGCAAATTTAGATAACATGATTTTGTTTTCATGCTTCCTATTTCAAGGTTGCCGTTTAGGAATAGAGTTTGCTGCACAGCCTCAAGTTGTTGTATATATGTGATGTAGTCATGTGATATGAGGACAAGATTTTTTTTTTAATCACTCAGTAGGCATGGCATAAGGAGGTTTTATTCTTTCCACACAGTCTCTGTGGACACTGGGGGAGGTAGAGATGCTCCAAAATTATTGGAAGGTTTTCTGTACCGTTCAAGCTTCAAGTCTCTGGTAACATATCAGCAGCCACTTAGACTCCTGTAACAAGCTGAAATTAGGCACTGGATTGAAATTATCAATGGATCAATCAGATTGTGATAAGGCACAGTGGCTCTGGTGAAGCTGCTGTCAACAAAAGCGAGGTGTCCAAAAATAGGGGGCCCAGATTTACAGATTCACTTGTAGAAATTCCAATGACAAAGGCAGACGTAGGTCTGAAGTCCAAAAGCTTTGAATATTTGATCACAATCAGACATAACAATACAGCCAACACATTTCAGAGGTTCAAAGATCTCCCCCTCTTTAGGGCTTAAGTATAATGGAAAAATGTCCGGACTTAAAAGTGGCACAATCATTTTTTGCTGCATGAGAAATCGGATATGACAAATATCAGTGGATCAATGGATCAGCAATAACATAGTACCCTGTAAATTATAGTAATAATTACTTCTTCTGTTACAGTGGTCATTTAGTCTCCACTAAAATAGTAACACATTAAAATGGTTGCTCCTATTCTCCTATACCATGGTAGAGGTCACTTAGTTCCCCTTACTATATGGCCAGTATAGTATGACAAAACAATGGTCACTCAATCTCCTTTAGGCCCAATTAACACTTGAAAATAGGGCCGAATTGCTGAGTCTCACAAATTAGCCTCATGAGACTCATGTAATCAGCTGTGGATGTGAGGCTTGTCATTGTACTTTGTGATCTCTGCTCTTTGCATGTTACATACTCATGTCCTCTGTGCTCTCTCTGTTACAGACTTTTCCTTTAGGGCTCAGCATACGTTTTGCCTTATCTCTCAAGTATGGCAGCAACCTAGGACCTCTGCATTCCACCATTGCTTTTATAGTTGCTTTTAAATACTGCTTTGAAGGCGGGAATGTTTTTATTAGGGATGCAAAGATACCAATACTAATATCGGTATTGGCGCCGATACCGAGTATTTGGGCGAGTACTCGTACTCGCCCAAATGCTCCGATACCTTTCCCGATACTAGAACCTCCGGTCAGAGGAAGATTTCTTCTCTGACTGGCAGTGCCGCGAGGAAAGATGGAGCGGGAAAGCTGGCTCCATGATGTTTGGCTAGCTTGATGCTGATTGGCCGGGAAGCCGGCTTCCCAGCCAATCAGTGTCGAGCCGGGCAAACAAATCTTATAATATATATATAGAAAATGAACTGCGCCAATAAGCAAGCTAACAGCTACAAGGCACTGGAATGTACACCCACTGTAAGTGTGTATACGTAAAAATGAATAACTAAATGTGCCGAGCTACAACAATGATCAGATATAAAGAGTATAAAAAAACAGTGACTCAAACAAATGTCAGTGAAAAAAATCAATCAGGTGTAAAGTCTTTAAATCTTCATAAATCTGCAAAAATGTCCAAATATAGCAATAGTGATGAATATTTCTTGTTCCTTCACCAAATGCACCACACCAGATATAGGGGTGCTCACCTTATTGATAGACCCCAGCAAGAGGTCAAACCAGGGAATTCCCTTCTTAACCAGGGGAGGGGGCCCTCAGCTCCAATCGCTCACAGATGTCCTCCAATAGTGTAATCAGACCCGCAAACAGATCTGTGCAACACTTCTTAAATAGGAAAGCAATAGCCTCCAATCTTTATCGATCTATAGGCCTCCTCAGTATAAGGTATCAATGCCAGGATCGTGTTGACCGAAAAAAGAAAGCAAACACCATAGCGCGTACCATCCAAACAGTGTATGATTTATTAAAAGAAAATTACTTGCATAAAAGCAGTGGTAACATAGCATGGACTCTCTCTTAAGAGTAGGTGCAAGAGTTTCAAATGACTGCGGCCATCAGTCGTAGAGATCAATGTAACGTCAAATGCTCCGCCCTATGCGCATTACGTCCAGCGTGACTTCATCAGGGATCAAGCCCTCCTGGCTTCCTGATTGCCCGGGAAGACGGTTCTATGCTACCGGAAGTGCCGGTATCGGTACTCTGTATCGACGAGTACCGAAAAATATAAGTATCGGTACTCGTACTCGATACCGAAAAACCGGTATCGGTGAATCCCTAGTTTTTATGTCAGTTAAACTGTGCATTATGGAAGCTTAAATTCTGTAAGAAGGACTCCTGATTAAAGCACACTATGAATACAGAAGATTTCAGCAGCCGTCGTAATAATAATGGTGGAGTTGGAGATTTGTCCAAATCTCTGATGCATAAATATGCATCAGATAAAATTCCACTGCCCCCCTCCTCCTCCCCATTTTTCTTCTCTGCCACCTCACCTTCATCCTTCTCTCCCTTTCCTATGTCCTGATTGGGCTGCCTCACCATGTGATTCTACTCAATTCTTACTAAGCCTTGTGTTACTTGATTTAATCTTGGTCAAGACCTTTTATATTCTCGTACTTTAATGTTTTTGTTAAAACACATACATACCTACTGTATGTGAAAACTTTAAAGTTGGACAGTAAACTGCTCATTACATACCTGGATTATTGTTCATAACTGTTATACATGTTAATATGGTATTTGCAAAACTGACAGTTTATACGGAATTTTTACATTGTTTTGGCCTGTTTTCACAGCTTAAGCCTACTGTGGGAGGGTCATTTGGAACTGTTTGCACCTTCCCCCCCTTCCCACCATTCTTTACTGGTAAGGATTGCTACAAAGTAAAAAAAAAATGCCTTGACTTCCATTTGAGGACACTGAAGATGTGTTCCCTTACTGTTGTATGTGTTACCTAACAAAAGATGTATCCATCTGTCATGCTGATTCAATAAACTTTAATCTAAGCATTATAATTCCTCCACCCTAAAAACAACAGTGCATGCATTTTTCATTGATGCTTCATTATCTTTCTTGCCTAAGGCAGGAAACAGAGCAGAGGAAGTTGGTATTGTTACATCTCCAGATGATGGCAAGTAGGGATGTTCAGATACCCAGTACTGTACTTAGTACAAGTACAGATACTTTTACAGCTTCAAGACTAGACTAGAGAAAATCTCAAAAGTTAGGAGGTGTAATTTTTAAGGAGCATACAGGGGGGGGGGGG